AAATTTATGTTAAAAGTAACATTAAAAATGATAAGTTTAACTATTTATATAATTGCTATTATATATTATACCAGTGTTATTATTAGAAACCTTATAAAAATTAAAAAAGAATATTACAAGAATATTATTGTAAATAATAGAAAAATGATATAATGTAAATAAAGAAGAAAAAAAAGAAAAAATTGAAGAGAAGTTGAACTTTTTTTGTTATCAGATTTACAAATTTAGCCACAAAATGGCCAATTTGGCTATTTAATTCAAAGGCATAGAAATCAATATGTTATTTTTTTTTATTCATTTTTTCGTGGCATAAAAATGTTAGAATATATAACATGTATATTCTAACATCGGGTCAAAAGCAGTCTATGTAAAGTTGATTCAGCATTAAATGATGGAGTTATTTTAATTTTGTTTGTATTGGTAAAGAAGTTTGCTATGGAAATCAAAAATTTTTTCTGCCGAATAATATAACCCAGCTAGCATACATATATCTTATGTTTTATACATAGGCTTACACAGTGCACTGGTACCACTTATGCTTTTTTATAACATTTTTTATTTCATTATTGGAAATTAATATTATTAATTATTTAATGTCAGGGAATTAGTATATCTTAAAGCTCTCTAGTAATAGTGATACAATAAAAAATACTTGGTTTTGATCTGCAAACCATGTTGTAAAAAGTTGCTTCAACTCTATCTGTTGTGTCATTAATAATTAGCGTGCTAATTATTGACAAAAGTCACAAGTTGTGATTTTCTATTATTATAACGTTTTTTTATTAATTGTCGACAAGAGTCACAAGTTGTATTATATGCTATATAAAGCGAACAATTTTTTTTGTAAACGCGAACTTTGTATATAAGTAAAAGAAAACGTTAACAACAAAAAAATGGCTTTTAAATGTGTCGAACAACACTATCATAATGCCAAATTTATATAAGAAAATGGCATTATAGAAACCCATCCAAACCACAAAAGTGTGGAGGTATAGATATAAAACAACAACAATAAAAACTTGTAAATGGCCAATTAAGAAAAACTATATTTTTTTTTTTTAGAAAGCAGATGTCAAGAGTCTACAAAAATAAGAAGCAAGTATCCGGATCGAATTCCTGTAATAAATATTTTATTTTATTAATCTGTTTAATTAAATAATATTATATTTTGTATTTTCATTTAATTATATACAAGGCTAACTTATAATTAATACATACTATATTAATGCAAAATTCAACTCTTACCCTGCCCCAACCCATACCCCTCAGTTGGCGCATGTGTATTTCAGATGTTCTCCACTTTTTTCTGTTAAAAGTTGTTCTGACATTTACGAAAGAATATACATTAATTAGTGAAGTAGAATCATAACCACTGCAAAAAGTTTTTCAGCAATCAAACTTGGAAAAACAAGTTTAACAAAACTTGAAAGTTTGATTATATTTTCTTTTGAAACTTGAGTTATTCAGATTGATACCATTTGCTGATATATGCTGAGGCAGCATTTTTTTGCAGATGATTTTTTGTAGTTTTAAATCAAAATTTAATTAAAAAAAATGAGGTATAAACCTAAAATTCAGCATGTTGATTGTCTTCAACATGATAGATTCAAATATCAATTCTATGAGCATTATTATGACATTTAAATCAAATAATAAAAGTATATTATTTATGGTATTTTGACTGTTAAAGTGGTTGTCATTGCGTGAAAAAATTGACAAATATCACTTTTTCAATTTTTGTTTGCGTGTGTGTTATCTTTACAACTTAAGGCATCAAGCATCATTTTCAAAATGAAAATCCAAACCCCCCACTCCTAATCTCTCCCAAAAAGTTATTGTGAACTCATAAAGACATTGCCAGGAGAACTTTTTGTTGTCTAAGTTAAATAAGGGATAAGGTAGAGAAAGGAATTTAGAATTTTATAGTTTTATTCATATAACATTACTTGTTACTTGCATAACAAAATTAGCTAACTTTTTTATATATTTTTTTTATACAATTCACTTCAAACAAGATTGCAAGCAACCACTAATTAAATTTGGAGTTAACAGAAAACAAAAAAGAGAGATAAGCAAAAAAGTGATTGACTAAAGACAAATAAAACTATACATTGTTCAATGTTTGCTGAAAAAACTAAATAAATACAACTTTGGAGCATAAAGGAACAGCTATAGTAAAAGGATGTGACTTGGTTGACTAAGGAGTCATATGAGAATGAGTTTTGGTTAATAAAACAAATGATAATAGGTTGCTTGAGAAGCAACCATGATATTATTCAAAAAAATAAAAAGAGATGCAATCTTTCAAATATAAGGCAGGGGCTAAGTAGCTGTGTTTTGGATCTTTTCTAGAAGAGAGAGGGCCTTGTTAAAAAAACCAGCTCAAATATGACAACAGTGACTAATAGATGTAGAAAATCAGGAGTAAGAATAAAATCATGGTTAGATGTATGTGGTTTGACTCTAATATATAACCAATAATCTTCTTCAGATTGGGAATAGAGAGTATCTAAGGTAATCAAGGAAGATTAAACTGATTTGGACATAGAGTGTAAAGATCTAGATGATTGGTATCATCAAAGAGTTAGCAAGAAGAAAAGGTAGAGGTAGGAAATCTTGAAGAGAGTGCATTAACAAGATAAAACGATTAAATTTATGTTAAGAAGATGCTCAATATTGAGTGTGCTGTAGAATCAGCGTTAGTGATGTTGTTCTTGCTATTTCTCTGTTTTTATTTTTTACCCATTTCCGTGTATCCTCAATTTTAGATTTTATCAAAGTATTTAAAAAAACTTTAAATGTGACTTATCTTGTCATCATAAACAATGTTATGCAACCTTTTATAGGATATTTTTCAACTAACATAAATTAATAAAATATTTATAAATAACAGTTAGGCTGAGAGAAAAGTAAAAACAAAATCAATTAAAAAGTTTGAAAAAAAAGGAGCCAAAATTTCCAAAAAAAAGCGTTGATTGTTGTGAAGTGTCTATATATATTTATATATATTCAAATTTTTATATATTATCTTGCATTATTTTTTTAAATACTTAGGTTGTAGTTGAGAAAGCTCCTCGTTCCACAATTCAAGATATTGACAAAAGAAAGTTTCTTGTTCCCTCAGATTTAACAGGTTTTTTTTTATTGATTTTATCTTAGTAACAATAAGCTTTTAAATTTACTTTTAAATGTTTTTTAAACTATTATTTATTTAGTGGCACAGTTTATGTATATCATTCGTAAACGCATCCAGTTAGCTCCAGAAAAAGCTATGTTCCTTTTTGTCAACAAGGTTTTGCCTGCTACTAGGTATATAACCTTTGTATTCGTTTTTTTTTTGAATTTAGACTTGAATTTAGCCCATTTATTATTTATTTTAGTTTTATTTTGTACTATTTTAACATTCACATAACACAGTATTTTAACACCATTTATTTAGTTTTATAATTTTGTGTCTAATTTTTTAAAAATAATCACCTTATGTAATTCTTAATAACATTTAGATATGCATTTTTTTTTTTGGAAAAATAAGTGGTTAAATGATTTCTATAACAGATTTTTCTTTTATTCCAAAAATAGAGATGATATTGTCATGAATAGTTATATATCTTAATACAAATTAAAGTATATTAAATTTCAAATTTGTTTTGTAAAATAGTGCAACAATGGGAGCAATTTATGAAGAGCACAAGGATGAAGATGGATTCCTTTACATTGCATACAGTGGTGAAAACACGTTTGGGTCTATTTAACATTAATTTTTGATTATTTTCTTTAAATGTCTCGTAATTCACATGTTGTAAATATTAGGTATGAAATAAAACAGTTTTACTGACCTCGTTAAATACTATTAAAAAGAGGATCGAATAAAAAACTTTTATGTTAATATTCTTTGTATTTAATTTTTCATTAATTTTGTTTTCTTAGTTCTAAATGTATCAAATTTAAGATAATTGTAAATAAAATATATATGTTTGCAGCAACTTTTTATTTTCTGTATATTTGATAAAAAACAAGCGCTTTCGATAATTCCAATATTGCTCGCTTCATCTTGTTTTTTAATTTATTTTTTTAAGTTACACCGAGAGAGTTTTAAAAAATTTAAAAAATTAACAAAAATGTCGGGAATTGTAACGGGTTCCTATAAAGAAAAACTACTGTAAAATGAAATATTTTTTGTTTTTTCATAAAGAAATTATAAAACAAACTTCAAATAAATCACGCCAATCATTATGTGATGTTATAAAATCTATTAAAAACTTTGAAATTTGCAAAAATGATTTTAGAACATCAGCTGATTATTTATCTATTTACATTGCATGCATTAATTAGATTATCTTTTCACTAAAACAAGTATTGTATTTTAATTAAAATTTAATTATAACCATTCTTTAACTTTAAAAAGGTGAACTGTTTTTTCATTAAGAACAAAATAAAGCAGTTTGAAAAACCCTTTCACTCGTAGTTAAGGCGATTTTTAAATTATTTTAATTCTTATACAGTGTTGTGAAAAAGTTAAGAACAAATAAAATTAATTAATTTTACTTCTAAAGATAACAAAATAGTCTTTTTTTTCACACATTAAATAGAACATGAGAAAAAAGAATTTTTTTTTTTCGAAAACTAATTAATAGAGCCTATAAAAATAAGGATTAAATATTATGTATTAATTTTTTTCAATATTTTTTTTGTGAAAAAGTTAAGAACCACAAGGAATCTTAACTTTTTCACAAGTGCTAAATGCGTTGGAAACGGCTTTTTTAAATTGATTTTTACCTTTTTTAATTAAATATTTTGTTAATGAACTGAGTCATAACCAAAAAACCAAAAGTATTAAAAAAAAGTATTTAATTTCAAACAAAAAAAAACTCTCTTCTTTTGAAAAAATGAGCAGAAAAGCTATTACCTATGAAGATCGTGTAAAAGTAATGCATTATCACCAGGAAGGTAAAACCGCTCGTGAAATTGGAAGAATAATAAAACGATCACAGCTCGGTGCTAACAATCATTAAAAGATTCAGAGAGACGAAATCTTACGTTGATCGCCATCGTTCTGGAAGACCGCGTTTGACGATACCCAATGATGATCGTCTTTTAATCAGGTTGGCAAAGAAAAATCAAACTATGTCGTCGCATGAATTAAAAAGGGAATTGAAGCTTTCAAATGGATGTGAAGCATCGGCATCACTTGTGCGTAGGAAACTAATAGCTAACAATATGCTATGGAAAAAAGCTGTTCTAAAACCGAGACTTAACAAACAACATAAAAAAGCAAAAAGAATTTTTCCAAAGTGTCAAAGAATGGTCTAAAGAAAAATGGAGGACAGTAATGTTCAGTGATGAGATGAATATCGAGGTTGATAACCGAAAAAACCGAATTATGATTCGCAGGCAGCCTTCCGAAAAATATAATCTTGATTGTATCGTTCAAAGAACAAAACAAGGTAGCGGGTCGGTCGGAATATGGTGCTGCATGACATATTATGGTCTTGGCATGTTTAAATTATTTAATGGTCGACTCAACTCTATTTATTACGTCGATATTTTAAATGACAACTTGTTACCATGAATTGATGCACTTGAGCAAAGCGTTCCGTTCATTTTTCATCAAGATAATGCACCATGCCACCGGGCTAAAATTGTCTCTGAATGGTTCGAAAACAAAAATATTGAGCGTCTAACTTGGCCACCAAATAGTCCAGATCTAAATTGTATTGAAAATCTTTGGAGTTGGCTTGATAAACAGATTGCCAAGAAAGCACCAAGGAGCCTTGAGGAGTTGCGCAATATTTTACCAACAATACTTAGAAATATTCCCAAACATATTTTAGAGAATTTAATAGACTCAATGCCAAATCGTATAAATGAGTGCTTAAAAATTCATGGTAGAATTACGCGGTATTAGGTAAAAATTACCGTTTTTTGTTCTGTGGTTCTTAACTTTTTCACAATTTTTTTAAAATAAAAATTACCTACAAAACTTTAAATACATTTTTTTATTTATTTAAAGGTCTAACTGTTATTATTATTTTTTATTTTGTTTGTCTATTTCCTAAAATTTATTATTATTTTTTTACCAGAAAATTATATTCGACTAAATAAAAATTTAAAAATAAAAATAAATTATCATTTGTTTTTTTGGTGGTTCTTAACTTTTTCACAATAATGTATTTAAAATTAGCATGATTTTGTCAGCGTATTATGTTTAAATTAGAGCCTTAGATAATATAATATTTTTTTGCTTTAAAGTTTTATAATGTTCAAAGAAACTTTTCTCTTTCTTATGAAATTTTCAAAACTTTTTTACTAATAGTGAACCTAAAGAACTCCATTAATAAAAATAAAGACTCAAACTTTAGATCGATTTTGCTGAACAGCGTTAAGGTGGCTCATATAGAAAATTTTTTTTTTAATTTAAATTATGGCAGAATTGACACCAATCTCTAATACATCTTTTGTTACAAAAGTGTTTTTTGGACAGCGTGACCATGCAACATTGTTGAAACCTTCATTGGCACTTTGGGTTTGTCCATTAAGGCATTTTGATAATAACTCATCACTTCTGAGTTCTAAAAATGTAGGCAACAAAATTTGAAAAGTACATAATGGTAATTTTATACTCTTTTTATAACTGTTAGTTCCATTAACTAAATCTTTTTTATATTTGCTCCAACTGGACGATCCACGTGGACAAAACTGATGTCGAACTTCGTCCCCTTTATCAGTTTCACAGCAATGCCAAACAATTACTAAGACAGCTTTTTTCATAGCGTACAAGTTATTTAAATTCTGTCTGATGGCAAGGCCATAAAAGTTTTGCATTGAGTTAATTGTTTTATCTGTTAACTTACTCCGACCAGACAAAGAGTTTTGTGTTCCTTTGAACTTTTTCCGAAGATTTCGAAGTCTGTTTCCATATTTCTTTTATACGTGTCCAACATATTCTAATTTAATTGGGTTAATACCATAATCTTTATAAACATTAGCAGCAAAAACATCTTTGTATGATGATGTGTTTCCATCACCAAGGTACTCATTGTAGATAAGGTTGTTTTTAAAACTGATCGCTGAAAAATCTCCACTGCACCAGTCGACTCCATTGCACCAGATAAACTTTGATGATTTATTGGACAGTTATGCTTGGAAAACCAGTTTTGGTGCTCGACAGACTCTTTTTTTCTATCCCAAATTTGACACTGTCTGCAATACTTTGTCATTACATAAACATAAATATACTTGACATGGTTTATAGCTGCAACATAACCATTAAGGGATGAAAATCCCCTCTTCTGCCAAGAACCGTCTACTGAAACACGACAAGTTGTAATGCCTAAATGAGCTTTGTTTTCAGGGTTCAGCTTAATCTCTTAAACCGGTTTTATTTTATTATTACTTGCTGCATTATTGTAAGCTTTGTACAAATGACTAATTATGTTTCAATAACTGGGTTCAGATAACGACTCCATATTGTGGCATCTAGAAAAAGTTTTTATTGCTGAAAGACCTTTCCCAGTTTCTCGAAAAGCAGTTACATTTCGAACATTAATTTCAAACAGATTGCGCCCCTGTGTGTTATTTTCATTACAGATATCAACATTTATTGATGCATTTTGAAGACAGGAACAAGTTAAAAATGTATAAAGTTCATTATTCTAATCACAAGAATAGCATTTAATTGAAAGTTTGTTTGCAAAACCCATTCTAAGATCAAGTTTATTGGATAAATTCAGTTTTTGTGCATTACACACAGAGTATGTTAAACTACTTATAAGATCTTTAAGAATTTTAAAATTTACGAACAAAAAATAATTATCATCATGTTCTTTATAAGCTTCATTTAAAGTTCCTGATATTTTTCGATAACGAAGTGAAGAAGATTTTTAAGTTTCTGTCAATTTGCTTGACTTGGTAAACCTATTTCCTTTATTTTATATTTTAAAATTAAAATATATAATTTTATACTTAAATGTATTTTTAACACTATTAAAAAGTTTTACGCTAACAATAAATTTTAATAATAAAAAATTAAACTTACCTGTAAAAAAAAGTTAAGTTAAACTAATAGTAGTAAGTATTTTATGCACAACCTATGCATCGAATGGTGTAATAAAAAAAAAGCAATATTTAAAAAAAAAATGAGTTTTTTTTCTATATGAGCCACCTTAACTTAGTTTTAGTTAAAATCTTTTAAAAAAGTACGTTAACCCGCTATAGATCTGACTCCTAATCTGTTCTAATGTATATTAGTTAAATATAGTTGTCAAAATACTTCATTTCTATCAATTTTTGCAAAAATAATTTAAGAATTCCGACCAAGAAAGAGCTTATAATGAAGGAAAACTGCCATTAAACGATCGTAACAGATCATATTATTAAGCTATGACGTTTATTTCACTTAAATAACCCATTTCTTTAAATTCTCATTCAAGTTTGGACAAGTACTCTTAACTACACTAAACAAAATCGCCTTAACTACACCGAGAGGTAAGAACACACCAATTTCGTATTCGAATATTTGGGTGTTTTTTTGATTATTTGATATTCAAAATATTTTTTTTAGAAATATTTGAATAATTTTGATAATATATGTTGAGTTTTGCAGTAAAATATAATGTAAATATTAGAATTAAAAAGTATATATCAATATCAAAAAGAATTAAAAAAAAACAAAAACGAAAATACAAATAAAAAAGTTCTAAACAATTGTATACAGCCTTGATATGGATAAGCAAAAATGCATTTTCGTATGGTTTTTATTTTGTGTATTTTTGTGTTCTTCTATTTCTTTTTTCATATAATTATAAAACAAATATTCGATATCATCAAAATTTGATGGGGTATCGAAGATTTTATTGATAATGGTATGGAAGAAGAAATAGAAGAATATTCCATAAAATATCAGTACTCTGATTACAATTTAGATTTTAATGAAAAAAAAAAAAAAGAATATGTTATGACATTAAATACTGACTTTGATCAAATT